GTGATTTTGTCTATATTAATCAAAACATGGTTTGGATTTGTAGTGATCAAAAAGAGTCTTCCGTCGTGTTGGATTTGATTATCTTGAGTTTTTGGATTTTTGCAGTGGTGACAGGCTCGACCATCATGATTACGAGTTGTCGGAAAAATTGCATGAAGTGCTCGATCAGAACGTTTCCACAGTACTTAACAAAGATCAAAACATCATTTCTAGAAATGAGTTTCACGATTTGGATCCCCTTGAAGATATAAGCTTATGGGATTGTTGGGAGGATGGTAATTTACCATTGGTTAGTTTCAGTGAAGACTGTAAATCCGGTGGTGAGGCTACATGTAGTTCTAGTGCTACCACCACTGATCACGGTGGCCGGAAGGTGGCAAAGAGATTGAGACCATTGGAGTTTGAAGAGATAGCGAAGTACCTTGAGATGCCAATAATCATGGCAGCAAAGAAACTAGGGATAGGGTTAACATTGTTGAAGAAAAGATGCAGAGAGCTAAACATAAACAGATGACCTCATAGAAAACTTAAGAGCCTTCAATCCTTCATTCAAAATGCCAAGGTAAACTACGATAATAACCTTCTATACATTACTCATGCATGTATGCATGCACTTGGTAACCAAAGTAGTTTTGGTATTTTCTAAAATTTTAATTATTAGTTTCTTTATAACATAAACATAGGCCCTAGGCATATGCCACATCGAATCGATTGTTTTACTACGATTTCTGATTTATATTTACATAAACTTAACTCATTGTAAATTTTGTGAACTCACACGAAAAATATATTGCATCTACCTAAAAAAAACTAGGAGTTGGGATTAAAGGAGGAGGTAGAGACGTTAGCAGGGCACAAGAAGATGATGGAGAAATTGTCAGGTATGGAATTGACAGAAAGAACAAAGAAGCTTAGGCAAGCTTGCTTCAAAGCTATTTATAAGAAGAGAGGACTTAACAATCCTTAGTCCTTACCTTTTCTTTTAGCCATTTTGTTATAATTAGTGGATTTTAATCTACATTGTATGTGTTTTTCTCTTGATAGATTGATACCCTTTTAGTTTCATTGTGTTTGTCTATTGATTTTTAATGCAGAAAATTTTGTATAATTTGGGTATTATAGTTTGTATTATGTATTTAGCTATATTAGATTGCCGACACGACTACGCTGATGACTCTATACCAGAGGTCTATATAAATAGACTTATGAATTTAGTAGGAATAACTTGATTATAATCTTGTGATTTGTTCCATGTCTGATCTACTCCGAAGATTCACTCGACATGCCCCCAGTTATGTGTAATTAAAATTTTATTAGACTGTTGATCCTAATGAGTCTACCCTAAGTCCACAACCAAACAAGGAACATGTCAACTATGAGAAACACGCATATGGACTTGTGAGTTATTTGTAAATTGATTATGGAAATAAAGTTTTTTTTAGACATTGTTGGGTAAAATAATTGTAAAACACTTGTTGGGCCATTGTTAGGAGTGTTGGGCACCTTTTGGGCTTTCCATGGTTACTAAATGTGAAACATGTAGCACTTGCGTGGGCCCCCACAAAACTAAGTTTTCACATTTCTTTCCCACTTCTAGGCCCATTAGGGAACTTAATAGTCCAATGAGTTGGCCATTTTGGAGTGTATCCTTTCGGATACGTTTGATAAGGTCGGGTATTTTGATGGCTCAAAAGTAATGTGAATGACGCGCTTTGGCCTATAGGTTTGGGAACTCTCGCCTTTGGTCCCCAGATAAGCAAATTGATCCCTCGGTTGATTGGGATGTATACGAATGCTTACCTAGTCAGGACTTTCGGGCTACCGGCACCTCCCCCTTCCAGTTACTACGCGTCATTACTATGATCCTACCCAACTAGAGTGGATGACTTTGATTTCCTATGAGCTCTAAGGAATATATATGTATATACATTTTTTTTAAACCACTTGAATATGTGTGTGATTTTTAGAGAAAGAGGAGAATATTCACCAGTGTATGCACACATATAAGTGTCAGGAGTAATACGTATGCACTTAAGGGAGCAATTAACACACAAAGGTATTCCTAGGATTCTAAGTGTGAATTGCATGCAGTTGTGTGTGCATTTTATAAACTAGCATACGAGAGGACCCTAGAGGCTATAGACTAGGTCAAGGCAATTAACCTAATTCCCTATAGTCAAGGGCTCTGATACCAATCTGTCACACCCCGATCCTTGTCGGAATCGATCAAGGCGTGATATATTGTTCAAAGTCTCATGACAACTATGTTATAATATGATTAGATTCAATTAAGTACTAAGTATGCAAACAAGATCCACAACATATAAATACAAATCCAAATACGAACAACATTTATTACATCAAATTTAAATAGTCTTGTGGATTTCTAAGGCACAACCTATTTTTCATCAACTTCATTCTTCAAATCTGCATCATGGGTAAAAACAGGTCAACTACGAGAGTTGGTGAGTAATCTAATTTTAGTAGAGAAAATTGTGAAGTTGAAACATTTATAATTTGAAATTTGTTTTCTTTGAAGTCGGCAAACAATTGTATTTGAGATAACGGTTTATAAATCAAAAATTGATTAACAAATGATAACAACAACAATAAGTCCTCACCCTATATATACATATGTATATATATATATATATATATATATATATATATATATATATATATAAATATATAGGATGGAGCATCTAATCATCATACACACTCAACCACGTGCGATCAATCACCTTAGCGTCCCAAGGCGGGGTGGTCAACCCAATAGCGCTATTATTGTCCATAACGTACCTCAAGAATACGGGCATAGTCATGGAGATTAGACTAAAAATGGTAATGCACTACAAGTACATGTAGCGTAAACAAACAATAGTTATACAATTAATGACTCACGTATAAATGTCCCAACAATGTCTCAATTGTGATAAAACAATAAAATGAAGTTGGAACATATTAGAACCACATGATACACCCCAAAAGTATTGAAATTATAAAATATGGGGTAGATTACTCACTTTAGTCCCAAAACGAAATGCGTGTGTCGTACGATAGACGGTTCGGGTCAAAATGGCGTAGAACCTAATATAATTAATAGTTTTGGTTTAGGAACTGCTAAACGAGAATAGAGTACTAATACAAATAATTAGACACATATTCTTATATTAGATGAATTAACAATAATTCATTTTGATTATAATATTAAGGTATTCATTTGTTAAATGAATTTTAAATTGAATTAATTACTTTGCATAATTAATTTATATTTTCAATTTAGGCCTAGATTTTAATAATTTCTTATTAAAATAATAACTTGCCCAATTATAATTATTTACAGATTTTAACAATTATTTATATGAAATAATCATTAAAATGCATTTTTACATGCTTAAATACTTAGGAAAATGGTTTTAAATAGTACACAGTATTGAAAAATTATGAAATTATTAGGAAATCATTATTCCATACAATATTAATTACTGTAAAATTTTTATATTTTTCTGAACTGTTTTAGTATTTATTTAATACTTTAATGATTAAACAACAACAAAATTCGGGAAAAATAAAAAATGATTCCCAAAAATTCTGTAAAATTAACCATAGTTTTATAACATGATATAGAGCCCAGTGTATAAGTTTTGGATATTTGTGACTATGGGAAGTATTTTTTATATATTTCATTATTAATTAATCAATAAAATCATAAATAATAGTAAACAGTAATATAAATGCATGAAACTTCATAAATTATGTTTAATCAATATATTGGTCATCCCAGAATTTTCTCAGAATTTATTGAATGCAAAAAGTATTTTATGTGAATTATTACCCTACTTTATTGCAATAATTATAGTAATTCAATAAAAATAAGTTATTTTCTGAAAATTTCCAGAACTTCTTATTTTATTGATGGGATTCTGAGAAAAATCAGGTTTATGCATAAAATGAGTTTTAGATATTTTGGTGGATTTAATTTGTTTCTTGTATGAATTTGAAACTTTTAACAACATACCTTGATGAATGCTTCAAGAGGGATGAAGATTTGAGTATAATAGATTGTTCTTGGCTGGAATATAAGTATTTCTTGGATGAATTTCGAGATTGAGAGTGAGAGAAAGAATAGAGAAGGTTTAAGTGGTGAAGAGAATAATGTGTTGGGAGAAAAAAGAAAGGAAAGTGGATGGGAGGTGTGAGTGGGAGACCATGGGAATAATCTTTTTGCTTTTGGTGGTCTTCATAATTTCCCACTAACACAAGCATCTTTTACCTAATTAATATAAGAGTTTTATAAAATTTAATGTAAAGTTTATAAAAATAGAGTTTTATAAAATTTAATGTAAAGTTTATAAAAATAGAGTTTTAGAAAAGATGAGTTATTATTTGATTATAACAATCTACTTTGATTTGAAGTTTAATTATAGCATTCAAGTTTGATTCTTTTAAATTTAATTAGAGCATTATACTTTGATTTGATTTTAATATGGTATCATAATTTAATTTGATTATAGTTATAACGTTGTACTATACTATGTTGCTATTAACGTCAATTTATATCGTAGTGTATGAGTTTCGATCCTATTAGCGTCAAGTAATATTGAGTAGGGTTTGAATGAGATTGCGAGAGGTTTCGTTTGTGATCTTTTTGAGTGTCCGGCTTCGCAACGCAAGGTCCATAGACCCCGTTAAGCCATGATTTAGTGTCCTACACAATCCCGATGATTGGGCAATAGTGTTTTATCGCTTTGGTTCGTTGTTTAGCACTGTTAAGGCTAAGGAATATCAAACACATGAACTTTCCAAATGATGTTTTCTCATTAAAATAGCGAATTGTACAGTGATTACATAACATAAACCCTAACATACAAGGGTTAATGGAGTTGACCGGTTTAACTTGTTGACTTTGTTTGACTTTGACTTGACCGAAATTTGATGGTTGTCACAAGCACACACACACCACTCTCGAGATCCGGAGGCAGCCACCCACCTGGTGGCGCTCATCGAACGACAGCAACGTCGCTATTGACCGACGGCGGCGGCGTTGCAACAACGGGATAGGATGGCAGTGGGGAAGACAACAGCGACTCGGAGGGGAAGAACAGCAGCGCTACGACGGTTCTTACGGCGGCTGGGGGCATCGACACGACACAGTAGTCCTTCGAGATGGCAATCGCTAACCGGAGCAATGGAAACGAGTCCTCTGGCGACGACCTCGGCAATGTAACAGTAGCGGCGACAGGAGGCTCGGCAGCACAGCGGTGGACCGTCTCGGAAGAGGGAAACACCACGGTAACCTCGACACCGGCCTCAGGCCCGTCATCGGAGTCGCATGGAGTCGTCGGCGATCCTACTATGGCCTCACGGAGGCAGTTGCTGGGACGAGGGGGGATAAGGTGAGGGTGGCGGCTGCATAGGGGGGTTTAGGGTTAGGGTTTGGCCGGTGGTGAAGTTTTATACCCGGCTCCACTAAAAGTTTGCCATAATGTCAAGATCAGCCCTCCCTTTATCTTTTTCTTTCAAACCAGGGCCATAATTTACCCTTCCCACCCTTGCTCACGGAATTTCTTTCATATCTAGTCCCACAATTACAACTCAACCCCTCCTTACAAATTATTCTTCAAATAAAGTCCATATGTTACCTTTTAAACCCTGGCTTTCAAAACTCTTTACCATGGAGTCCAGAATTACCATTTAGCCCTTGCTTCTCATAATCTATCCATCTTAAGTCCCGATAATTTACCACGTGCTCCTTACCTTCATAAATACTTACAAGACTAATCCGGAACTGACACTTTTAATCCCCGACTTCTAAAAAATTGTAACAATTAGCCCTTCGAGATCATCCTTGATATATAATTATTTAATATAGGGCTACCATTCGTTCATAAATTTCATCTATTTAATTATTTAATAAACGGGGTGTTACATACAGGCTTGAGAACAAGAAGTTTCACTAACCTCTTTTGTGGTAGACTCCATTTGAATAGTACCGAATAAAAAAATTAGCCGAGAACACAAAATGTCAACTAAATTTGTTGACCGAGAACTCCAAGAATCAACAAAAAACTCGTTGACCGAAAGCTCAAAAGTTTGACCAAAAGTTGACTGAGATTTGAATGGAAATCAACAAAAAATCGGTTGAAAACAACAAAATCAAATTCAGAGACGAAATCAAAATTTTAAAATAGGCCGAAATCTCAATTGTTGACCTAAGTGTTGATTGTTTACAATTAAAACCGAAATCGTAAAACTAAAATTGTATGAATTAAAAATTGATAAATAAAATTAAAATTAAAAAAAAAACAAATTGAAATTGGCCGAAAACAAATCCAATAAAAAAATTGGCCGAAAACACAATGGAATTTCCCATTTTTTTTATTGACCGAAATCTCAATTTTTTAATTTATTTTATTTTACAAAATTAAGAGACTATTTTGCCGAAATCTATGAAATATGACCGAAATCAATTTTATAATTTTAGATTAGGTGGACAATTTTATGATTTTTGTTTACCGAAATCAAATTTCAAATTTGGCCGAAAACGATGGATGTTGACCCAAAACTTTGATATGGTTGATCGAAAACTTGATGATTTCGGTCTAGAACTAATACCAAAAACCAAGTAGATTTCGGTGACCGAAATCAAAATTTGTTTAATGTTTGTGATATGGGACCGAAAACAAGTGGACCGAAAACAAGGGAGTTATTTGAAACATAAACAAATCAAATTCCTTAAAATACGTGATTCACTTGATAAGGTTCCAAATCTAATCCCGATAAATCAGAAGAATATGCCCAAAATTCACGATCAACACGGAAAACACCCAAGAACAGTTTCACTAAGAACTGGAAAATTTATCAATTTAATCAAAAATTTCGATTAAATCAATAATCCAAAACAGAAAAATAACGAGCCCAAGGTCCTTGAATCGATTGATACCCTTTAAAGCTCTGATACCAATTGAAAGTCCCAAAACTATGGATCTTATATGATATCAATCAATATATTTAGTGAATGCGGAATGTAAACCAAATAGAGATTCAAGAACACACGATAGTATCTTTAGTTGCACACGATTATATTGATTAAATCGTCTGGTACATATGAGAACCTTTTCACAGCCGAAAAATAATATGAATGAACAACCAGAAAACCCTAAACGACTATCACATATATATATGACCAAAATACAAAGCTTAATAAAAGCCCAAGCCCAACCCCTTAGACCGAAATCAAAAGATGATTTCGGTCCATCTAATCCAAACCGAAAACACCATAAGCCCAATAAACAATAATAAAATATAAAACTAGCATAAACCATAATTTAGTCCTAACACCATGCTTGTAAGAAAGCCCCATGCTTTCATTATTTTATGTCTTGATTTTGCACTAAGAGGGGACATAAAAGAAAGGCATGAGAGTGAATTGAGTGAGTTTTCGGAACACTCTTTTCTCTTCCTCTTAGGCTACCAAAACTGTAGGGACTCTCACACTCTTCCTCATCCTCTCTTGCTTTGAATAGTGTAGATTTTAAGGCTTAATGTGTTGCTTCTCTTTAAGGTTCATTTGGTATGAACTCTTAACGCTTAAGAACAACATATTTACAAGTGAAGAATAACATCTTTGGAGGATACATTATAAAGAGCTTCTTTTTGGAGTTTTAATGTTATCTTCATTAACTCTCTAATTTCCAAAAGGAACCAAAGTATTCAAAGGTTGTAAACGTATTCTTTCCTTTGGTTATGTTTTAATCTTTATAAGCTTTGCAAATTGATCATTGGTGGGTTAAAATGGTTTTAGTTTATTCAAATCTAGAATGCTTATGTTGTTAATTATGTCATTTTTGTCACTAAAATTAGATTATTTTTTAATAAAAAAACCCAACAACGTGCACCAAATTTACATCCATATGAGTAGGTGTACATATGAGTAGAGTTATCCATTGGACCCCGGTAATTGAAATTTTGTTCCAAGCTATCCAGTTGGAAAGCTTCTATGCTTTCGCTCGGTGGGCGACTGATTCTTTGCAAATCAGTCCAAGGTAGCCTCAAATCATATTATTTCTCACTCTACAAAGATCTGGATAAAGTATTTTTTTTTGGAGAAACTGAGAATGAGATTCTTTTGGGGGTGAAAACTCAAATAAGAAGAAGACGGCTTTTGGATTGCGTGGGACTAGATTCTTGCACCCGATGAGCTCGGGGGATTAGACATCAACAGTTCAATTAAAAATGCAAAACTTTGCTCTTCTTGGTAAATTATGGTGGAAATTTAGAGATTCAAAACATAACATCTGGAAGGAGGTTATAAAATTCATTCATGGCGTGGATGGTTGCCTAAATAATCCAACTAGAGCTAGATGTAGTGGCTGTTAGGGTTCTATAGAATAACTTCCATTGGTGTTATCTAAAAAACAAACTCCAGCTCAAGGAATTCTTTCAATAAATGCCTGATACAAGTGGGGTACCTTCATGAGTTCAAAAATTTACTTCATCTCCTCATACAATAAGTATTATGATCTATCTTCCCTTCCTTAAACTGGTTGTCATTAGATCTGAAATAACATTGTACCTCATAAATTGAATGTGATCGCGTGGAGAGTCAATCAAGGTAGGCTGCCTACCTTGGCAAACTTGTCCACGATCGGTATTAGAACATCTACAAACTACAAAGTGTGCAATGCATGCTCGGAGGATGAGAATCAGTTATTTATTTATTTTGCATTAACTAAAGAGGTATGGAAAGAGCTGCAAAAGCTAGTGGCACTATCTCGCTCACAACCTCACACAAACTAAGGAGTTACTTAATTGCAACCAAGCTTACATAGGTCCATCATATTTGTCTGATGTGAATTCAGCAATATCAAGGATCTTCATTTGAATTATATGGACAATTCGCAATAAGGCTATTTTCAATGATGTTATTAAAACAGAAACGACTTTTCCAAAGGAGGTACAACTACTCTCACATCTTTAGATCAATGCAAAAAAAAGAAGGGGATATCTATGTTGGCTTGAATGGAATGCGAATCTAGTGATCGAATGCAAGAACTTTTTTGTTTAAATTTAATGCATGCTTATTTTTCTTAGGGCGTGTTTGATATGTGTCTAACCGAGTCGGTTAAGACATTTTTGCCTGACTCGGTCAGCTAAATGTGTTTGATAAATAAATTTTGGACGTCTGACTCGGAAAACAACATCTGATTGAGTAAGAAGAGGGAAATTTGCTAAGTGAGAAAAGGGAGAAGCATTTCCAATTGTACCCTTCCCTAGCGTAGGAAGTTTCAGCGCCTCCATTGTTTTTTATCTTCTTCATCGCCTCGTTTCTTCTTCCTAGAACAAAAAGCATCGTCGACATCGAAGCCTCTTCCACCCACAGATCGAAGCCTCATTACTCTTCTCATCAAGTACGCTTCTGCCTTTTTCCTCTTCTTATCAGTTCCGATTTTTTGATAATGTATGAGTTCGATTTTAAATCTCTGGGTTTTTCTGTTCAAGAGTGAATTGACCGATATTTTGTTGTTCTGTTCCCGTTTAAACTTCCGATTTTTGTTGTTATGTTGGTGTTTGCTGTTGTGTTCATGTTTGCCGTTCTATCTTCTTTGTTTAAAGTGATTTTGCTGTTGAATTCTGAAGGAATCTATAAAAAATAAAAAGAAAGCCAACCCCAATAAGGTTTAAAACCTTCAGATCGATTGCTCAGACTCAAGGTTGTAAAAATCGCTCGACGGTCGATTGATGTCAAGGGATTAATCGGTCTTGGCATGGATTATTAATAAAATATTAAAATTAATCAAAGATTAATATATTTTAAGAAAAATAAGTACTTCAAAATTAGAAAATAAGAGAATTTGTAATTTGAAAATTTTGAAAATTTGAAAATATAAACATTTTGGTATAATATTTGAAAATTTTGGAGTAAAAAAAATTAATTTTTTGAATTTTTTTTGACTTTTTTGACTTATGTTGACTTTTGTTGACCAATTAATCCCGTCAAGACCGATTAATCCCGCCAAAGCCGATTAATCCCTAATTTCTGCCAAACACACTAATCCTAGTCGTTTGGAGAACGCCAAACGATTAATCCACCATTAATTTACGATTAATCTTGATTTTTGCAACCATGCTCAGACCTTTCCTAGTCGTTGAGTCGGCAACAACCAAACAAAACCTTAATGTTTTATGTTTATGTAATTATACTCTTAGCTTCGTGCTAGTTTCCCCTTTTAATATATTTCTTGCCTTATTGTTAAAAAAGAAAAAAGAAAAATTCATCATAGATGCTCATGTAAAATGACAGGTCAATCTATTACTATGTATGTTTTTCTCGATCTAGAATCAACTTTGTTTTATTTTAGTCGTCGAGCATGATGTCATCAACTTGAATCCAATCATATTCGTGTCATATAACAATTTATTATTTTTATGTCATTATTTTTCATCAATTTTTACATCTTTACCGATGTGTTTATAAAACACAAAAGTCATTAAATGAGGACTTAAACTTAATATAATCGATTAAATATGTAACCCGATCCGACCCACATAGAAAAACTCATTCTAATATGTCACCCAAAATCCATTGACCCGCCCCTAGTTTGGACCAGAATAGTACAATAACATTCTTGTGAAAATGACAAATGCTTGAGGATGAAATCTGTAACTTAAAGAAAGTCAACATGAAAATATGACCGTTGGAGAGGGTCCGTTTATTTGGAAAAGCGATTTGATTATGGGCATCGAATGATCGAATCACATGCTCCTAAAAAGCAATTACGAAGCTTCACTACGCAATAAAGCTGTACGCGTACCCTCGTCTACTCTACAACCCATCTCTCTCCTTCTCTCTATTTTGATTTCTACTTTTAGTGTTGATAAATTATCAAGAGTTGAATCTGCAACCAACAACAATGGCGAATCAGAGAGTGGTTCTAACGGAAACAGAAGCTGATGAAACGAACAATCAGGTGCATCATCCCTACGCGTTTCATGTATCTGGACCTCGTAAAGTTTCTGCCCCAAATTGGCGAGATCTTATCAATTCCAGTTGGTTAGTTTTTCAATCAACCTTTCTCTTCATTAATTTGTTGTTCAATCTGTTTTTGTTTCCCTTTTTTTTGTAGAAATTGTGATGTTACTGTTATCGAAATCAGAATTGATTCGAAATTGTAGTATCGGATGAATACCATTGGAAATCTTCGAATTTTGTTAGGGTTTGGTTCTAGTTTGGGGATTCTATTGAATTTTCGGGGTTAAACTCAAAGATCATTGGAATATTGTGATGCATAAACGTAGAATCGTATGCTATTCTTTCTTTATCGCTTTTTTAGTTCTGTTTCCAATTTCAATTGGCTTTTGACGTTCAATTTAGGGTTTCAACTTGAAAATAGACATTTATACTCTGTATCTGTAACATTTGGATTATCGTTTCAAGTGATAATGAAGATATTATATGTATAGGTATGATTTTCTCATTATTTAGAGTTAGATTTAGATAAGACTAGCCATATGGAAACTAATTATTAAGATCTAACGAAACTAATTTTTCAGATTATGATATATGATCATCTGATTTTGAACAATATTAATTAAGAAAAAAAACATTTTACATCAACAAATTGCTAATAGTACGTTGCTATTTCTTACTTCTAGGAAAGATGGAAACTACAAGAGAACAGTAATCGCCTGCTTTATCCAAGCCGTATACTTACTAGAACTCGATCGACAAGAAAACAGACCCAAAGAAACAGCTCTAGCCCCAAAATGGTTCATCCCCTTCAAATACAAACTCTCCCAAACCCTAATCGACGAACGCGACGGATCAATCTACGGTGCAATTCTTGAATGGGATCGCTCCGCCGCCTTATCGGATTTCATCCTAATCCGCCCCAGCGGCGCCCCGCGAGCTGTTTTAGCCCTAAGAGGTACGCTTCTCAAATCCCTAACTATCAGACGCGACATTGAAGATGATCTTAGGTTTTTAGCATGGGAGAGTTTGAAAGGCTCTGTGAGATTCAATGGCGCGTTGGAAGCGCTGAAATCGATTGCGGATATGTACGGGAGTAACAACGTGGCGGTCGCCGGACACTCGTTAGGCGCCGGATTTGCTCTTCAGATCGGGAAATCGTTGGCGAAACAGGGGTTGTTTGTTGAGACGCATTTGTTTAATCCGCCTTCGGTTTCTCTTGCGATGAGTTTGAAGAATATGGGGGAGAAAGCGGTTTTCGCTTGGCAGAAAGTGAAGTCGATGATGCCTTCTGCTACTTGTGTTGTTGATACTGATGGCGGTGGTGAGGGTGGTGGTGCTGGTGGTGGGTTTAGTAATCCGACGGCGTTTAACAAATGGGTTCCTCATTTATATGTTAATAATAGTGATTATATATGTTGTTATTACACGGATCCAGCCGGTGGTGATGGTGGAGAAAGAGGCGGTGGTGGTGGTGGTGAAAAGGAGAATGTGAGGCCGGCGGTGGGTGGTGATGGTGGTCATATGGCGGCGAAGCTTTTTGTGTTGTCGAAAGGGAAACAGAAGTTTTTGGAAGCTCATGGATTGGAACAATGGTGGTCGGATGATTTGGAGCTTGAATTGGCATTACAGAATAGTAAGCTTATTAGCAAGCAATTGAAGTCGTTGTATACTGTGCCACCTAACACCACCGGAAACCGCCTATGACTGGTGTGGGGATTGGTGGTGAACTGTTGATGGTGGTCGGAATATCTTTGTGATTATGGGATTTTGATGTAGAAAAATTTCAATGAAGACGTTGGATGTTGAAAGGGTTGAGATTTGTTTTGTGTTTTGAAGTTGAATGATATTGATTTTTGTGTAAACAAAGTATCATTCATGTACAATGGCAATAAGAAATGAAAAGCCATGAGAAAATTTTCAATTGAGAAAACAATTTCGCAATGAAGATGCTTGGATGTTGATAGGGCGGAGTATAATAACATTTTTTTTTTCTCGTATTAGCTCAATGCCCTTTTGGAAACTAGTGTTGTGTGTGTGTGTGTTTTTTTTCTCAATATTTTTTGTGAGGTTCTCGGAGGGGGTGAATGGCACGAACAATGTTTAAGGGTGAAGGATGCCGATGAGATTGATAGAAGGCGTCCACAATGGAACATTCCAATTTCAGATTTGGGGTTATAGTTTTAAAGGGTTTTTGGGGTTATAGTTTTAAAAAGAACAGTTAAAAAGATGTTCGAGTTAAAAAAATAATTTAGACACCAAACACTTATATTACCCAAACCACATGTAATAATTTAGAAATAATACTTTTGCTAGAAATATAACAAAATTATTGTTTGACATTGATTTTTTTTTTAAAAAACTTTTTTATATGGATGTTTGTAATTAATAAAGCTTTTAAATTAATCGAATGTATTAAAATAGAATGATATGAGGTTTTAAAAAAAAGGCTAGACGAAACAATGATGGAAGAATTACGTTATTGGGCTAATCAATGTGGGCCTGTTTTTATAAAGTCAAACTTGTCGGGTGAAACAAAATTTGGGCTGACTGGAGTACTAAAAGTACACCGAACTTGATATTGGGTTGGGACCGTTTAAAAGACTATATAATGTCGGTCTAAATCAGTTTTGGACTCTTCGGTCCTAGACCGGTCCGATCAAACCTTTTTTTTGTAACCGGTCTAATATGGTCTTTGACTTTTTTGTAACCGGTCTGAATCCGTCTTTTAATGCAGGTCTAAATCAACACATGAAAATGTTAGACGAAGTTATAGTTTTATATGAATCAGTATCACATCATACTTCTAAAAGTACTTATGTTTTTAAAAATGATAATAACATTTATTCGTTTATACACAAATTGCTAGAGTGTGTTCGTTAACATTAAAATGTCTAGATTACTAATTCCATTGTATGAATCATACAAACATTTTTTCCAATTTTATTGAGAATAATAAGATTCAAAAACAATTTAAAATTTTATATACAGCGGAATTAATAGATAAAAGTTTTCGTATTCACAAAAGGGAAAATTTCATAAAAACCACTATAGTTTTTTTTTTTTTTTTTACAACCGAAATAAATTTTTTCTATGTTAACTGCTAAAAGTTTTCTTTTATTTTTAAAAAACCACTGCATAAGACTTTGAATTCTATAAAAACCATGAGAGTTTGAATATTGTTCGATTTAACCACTTAGAAATTTTTATTTTCGACTTAACCATCGATAGTTTGAACTTATTTTTAACAGAACCATTTTTATTTTTAACAATATTGTTTGATTTAACAACTTGAAGAAATTTATATTTTCGACTTAACCATCGATAGTTTGAACTTATTTTTAATAGAACCATCATTCACCGAAAAAAATATTTTTCCGTTTGTTATTTGCAAGTCATTAATGGAAAAAAACGAAAAAAACGTAGTGGTTTTTTTTTGAAAAAAAACAAATTTTCAATGGTAAACTAGAAAATTTTATATTTCGATGGTTAAATAAAAAAATCAAACTATAGTGGTTTTTATTGAATCAACCCTTAAAAAACTAGATATAATTTGATAACTACAATTAACAAGTAACCCATGGTTTAAAGTATCTTTTCAGTTACTAGAGGATTGGGTTGAGAAGAAGAGGCTTGTGGTAACATTTGTAGAAGAGATTACAATTGGTTTTGAAAAGAGTAGAAAGATGCCTTTTTTTTTTTGTTTTTTTGTTTTTTTTTGTAGGAGTTTGTGATCGGAACGTAGGTAGAGTTTGAAATGGATGCTGGCAAAAACCTTATGCAGATAACATTGGGCCATGGAAACCTAAAGGGAAAATGACTTGTAAGGGTAATGACTTGTAAGGGTAAGTATCTTTGATCCGTATTCAAAATAAACCATTCATTTTTTTTTGTACAAAAAATACTATTAATATGTGTTTCGTGTACACATTTTACCATTGGCAATCGGATACAAGAGGTAATCCCGGTAATTTATAATTTAAAAAAAAAAGATGATGTGGAAATTAGGTATGTATACGTGGCTATTACACCCACATCTCCCCTATTAATGGACCTTAGGGCACAATTTCTTCATTCTTCAAAACTGTTGCAAGATTTCTCCCATGGCTTCATCCTCTACGCACAACTCCAGCTCGATATCGAAAAAACCTAAGTCAAAATCAAAACTTGATTTTGCAAATCCTTGTGATTGTGGTTACCCTTCTCGTATTTGGACTTCAACAACCAAAGATAATATTGGAAAAGACTTTAGGGTTTGCCCTAATTCAACGGTATGTGGGTTTTAATCTATATCTAGTAAGGTTTTTTTCACTAATTTTTGTATTATTTGTTTTAGGATAACCCAGACATTAAATGCAAATTCTAGGAATGGGTTAATGATGAAAATACAGTCAACAAGAAGAATAGAGATGAAGTGTAAGTCCCCAAAAACTAAGAACCAACTAGTGATCAACACAAAGAACAAGCCAAAATGATAAGAACAAGGAGTAGAAGAAAGAAGATCCAAATTGCACACGTTTATATTAGCCGCAAACGTCAGGTACAATGGACTCAAAACACACACATACGACTGTAAACTGCTACCGCAATCTGAGAACTACTGGAACTATATATAGGGAACAGTGGTTGCAAACACGTTTACAGCCGTAAACCTGTTTACAGCGGTAAACACGTTTACAGCCGTAAACAACAAACATACCGCAAACACCACCCAACCGCAAACCCATACAAATACATGAGCAAATACTAACACAACCTATACAAAAGAATGGCTAGCTCAAACCAACTAAATATGACCTAACAGTCTCCCCTTGGTTTGAGGCTAGTATGAACTCAATCTTTCTCAATGATCAGCATGTCAGATCTTCCCATGGCCCCCAACCACATCTTCTTGTTAATAATCTCAGCGATCATACTCGTAAACTCTTTAGCGTCAGACTCGAGAATCTCATTCTTGACCATGATTTGATGTTGAGCCAAAGTGTGAATGTCACGTTCACCAAACTGTAGGATATCCTTCGCCTCAACAACACGAAAGACACCAGTTGGGAATTTGATTACAGCAGTGGCTGTGGCCTCGTCGAAAACCCAATATTCCATATCGTGAAGAGATCCATCACGGAAATGCTGAATAATGGGAATTTCTTTCATTTGCTTTGTAGGAGGCCACATCACAGTTTTCATGGCTTTGTTGGTTTTTGGGTCAAGAACATCTTTGGCTTTCTTCACAAAAGATTCTGTTGTCTTCGTTCCATCAAACTTCCTCTTTACTTGATTCTCTAAATAGAGTTTGAAGTCACTCTCTCGAGGATCATTTGATGGGTTGTGGAAGGGAGCATTAGCAAGTTCAGTAAGATCTACTTTTGTCCAAGAACCAAAGTCATTCTTTTGTCGATAGTATTCCGAGTTTCTGCTCTTTCTTTTTACCACCCAAATATTTAATTTTTCATGAAATCCCCACATCAGTATTCCTGACCGGTCGCCATATTTAGCTCCAAACCGCTTTTTTTCGAGCTCAGTCACGGTCAATTGAGGCTGGTCTCCATGAACATTGTTGTCAGAATTCTTCATGAAGAGCCATTTCCCCTTGTTTTAAGTAGAGACTCGCTTCTGGGCTAGCTTCAGAGTAAATTTGGGAATAGCTTGAGCAGGTTCGACTTCAAAGAGATCAACAATACGAGTGGTTCTGATAGGTGGAGGATCATCAAGTGGATCGGAAAATCCGGGGGGTTGCTAGATTCGAACCTGGGTCTCTCCCACACACATCTCCCCCTTTTAAATCATATAGCTTCGCAATTCCGTTCCTATTTTCGAATTTTGACAATTTTAGCCCAAAAACAAATTTTGTGAATTTTAAAATTCCATTTTCTACCCAAAATTTTGGTTTTTAATTTTTGACTATCATTTTTGACTTTTGACCTCAAAAATTGACTTTGAATTTCTCGTTTAACTTTTAAATTTTCACTTTTAGCTTTTCGGTTTGACTTTTTAAACTTGACTTTTAAGGTTGACTTTTGAGGTTTATAGACAAAGGGCATTTTTGGTAAACAATGAGTTCCTCAAACATCCCGGTCAATGAAGTTTTATGTTCTCAATCTTGTGAAGCTACGATTAAGTTTCTTCGTGAACAAAATGATTTGCTAAAAAGGGAAAATAAGGACCTTAAATATGAAGGATATACACTTAGGACAGCCCAAAAACCTTTAAAAGCACAACTAGAGGCTAAAACCAAGGATTTTAGAAAACTTCAAGAAGAATACAATAATAAATGTGTAAATTATGATTATGTTAAGGAACAACTTGCTAACTTGACTACCGAACTTGATTCATTGAAAGCTAAATATAAAGATGCTGAATTCAACTTTAAGAAATTTGATGTGTCAAGTGAGGTAGTTGCATCCATGATAGAAAAACAATTAACATTTAAAGATAATCAAACCAAGGGTTTAGGGTATCACAGTGTACCACCTCCCTTCAATGACAACTATAACCCACCCCTTGAGACCAATGAGGAAGAAATTGCTGCTCAGTTTGGCCCACTCCCTGAACAAGCTTCAGTTAATACTGAACAATCTGGGCCAACTGAGAATATTAAGGTGAACGTTTTTAATGATTCTACTTCTTGTGCAGGTAAAGTAGCGGAAGATGAGAACAAGGAGGACACTATTGAACAAACCAATGTCTCCTTGAACTCTAAATCTGTTGCTTCTAAATCAGTTACTTCTAAACCTGCTGTTGGTAAATACAAGCCACCAAAACAAGCGAAACAAAGTGCCTGCTGCAAGTGTGCGTGTGGGAACAATCAGAGATAAGGCA